AAAAATATATATATTTTTAATTTACAAAACTAAACAGCCTACAGTAGTTTTACCGTCTTTATTTTACAGTTAAAATAAACGCTTATCAAATAAAGTTTAAAGTTACAACTAAACATGGATCCCTTTAATAAAATTTGAACAATGGACCCTTACTCAGAAAAATCCTAGATCCACCACTGGCTGAGACCAATGTAAGTTACTGTGGTTTTGAAAACACTTTTTTATGTTGCAGAAACAGCAACATGATTAAAAAAGTTTGCTGTATTTTACAATCTTGATTTGGAAAAGTTGAKACTTTTTTATTGCTTTTTCCTAAATACTGCACTCTTTTGTCTTTTCTYTAGCATATCAATAACGACCACATCCACGGAGAGAAGAAGGAGTTTGTGTGCCGATGGGAGGAATGCTCTCGAGAACAGAAGCCCTTCAAGGCGCAGTACATGCTGGTGGTCCACATGCGCAGGCATACTGGGGAAAAACCACACAAATGCACAGTAYGGACCCTTATTTGTTCAGTTGACTTTATTTATTTGGAGACTATATTATGGCATTACGGTCTTYACATGGCTTAAAATGTGAGTTCTCTTCTTTAGTTTGAAGGCTGTGCCAAGGCTTACTCACGCCTGGAAAACCTTAAAACTCACTTACGATCCCATACGGGTGAGAAACCATACGTGTGTGAACACGAGGGCTGCAACAAGGCTTTTTCCAATGCATCAGATCGGGCGAAACATCAGAATCGCACACATTCAAATGAGGTACTATCATTTTCACACTTTCTTGAATTAGCCATGTTAACAAGTCATTTTCAACGAGCTGCTTTCTGTTTTCCCTCAGAAACCCTACGTGTGCAAAATCCCAGGCTGCACAAAACGCTACACGGACCCTAGCTCCTTACGTAAGCATGTAAAGACAGTACACGGGCCAGAGGCGCATGTCACCAAGAAGCAGCGTGGGGATTACCCACGCCCTCCACAGCAGCCGCGGGAGCCTGGGGGCAACAGCCAGGGCCGATCGCCTGGGCAGCTGCCCCTGGGTGGGTATACGGACCAAAGGGAGTACTACCATGTTACCTCAAAACAAGATGATTCTCTGCAGGTGAAGTCCATCAAGACTGAAAAACCCATGGTAAGACTTCATTTCATTGCCTTGTGTCTGCTTTGCAACAGCATTTTGATCCCCTTGTTTCTATTGTTTGAAAGCTTATTGATCTGAATAGGGACCTTGCACATTCAGTCCCCAAATCTTCTAATGAGTGCGTGTTTTTCTTTTATCCAATGCTTCGGCATTACTCTTCCTTCCTTTCTAAGGACAGTGGGTAATCAGGTGAGATAGGTATCACAATGTATTTGTGGAAATGTCTCATTTTCCGCCTCTCTTCTTCATCACATCTTGGTGTTTTAGTCTTTTTTTTCACATCTTGTTGTAACTATGATGATGGGCATTTTCAACCCAAACATGCTGAATTTGTTTCCATCATGGGTCTTTGCCATTCTTTGTGTTCATGACGATATCGTTTTTCCTCATGTTGTTGTACCACACCGATATTTACCATTTCGATGCATTCCTGCGAGAAGTGTTTGTCCCTTTGGGTAGAGCTGCAGCAGCACTGAAACTGATCCTGATATTGCCAAAGTCTTCTACTTTTAAACAGGGTGAAACACCCTCCAACACTTCTGACATTGTGCACCAGAAAAGTATTTTTAAAAAATTGGTTTTTCACATATTTTTTTAACAATAAAATTAGAAATAATTTATCCTTTTCACCTTTTCCCTGAAGATTTCAACATGGTTTTCTTTTTGAAGTTTTTTTTCTCTCTCAGTCACAGAAGGAAGCATTCCTCATATCTTTTGTAATGTATTGTTTTTATAGCCATTTTTTCTAAGACCTTCAGTGATTAAAGTATATTATTAGTTTATTGACAGACACAAACTCAACAGCTGTTGCTAACATTCAGCCCAGCTCATGTCATACTGTATAAACCTATAAAGGGGGATCAAGTAAAAACCCAATTCTGCTGTAAAGATGTAATACTGCATAGTGTTACGGGGACTTCATCCTCCAAAGTATACACATGGCATCATCGTTTGTAACATATGTTAAAGTTGCGTCATTTTAAGTAAACGTGTTCATTTTGCTCTTATTCCCTGCTCCTTTGTGTGTGTCAGACGTCTCAGCCAAGCCCTGGCAGTCAGTCTACATGCAGCAGTGTCCAGTCCCCCATCAGCACCYATCCCAGCAGTGGAGTCCAGCTTGCTGTGAGCGCCGGACGCTCGCCAGGGAAGGGGCTGGAGGAGGACGAGGAGGAGGAGGAGGAGGAGAATGACGAGGAGGCAGAAGAGGGGTGCGACGGGGAGCCAGCCCCCGTCGTGGACTCCACGGTCTCCACTGCGACCGCAGCCATGCTGACCTTGCAGGCGAGGCGAGGCATTGGCCGGCCCCTGCGCTGGATGGAGCACATGAAGATGGAGAGGCTGAAGCAGGTGAACGGAGCGCTGCCCAGGCTGGGGTCTCTGTCCCCCACACCACCTCCAAAAGGTCTGGCGGTGCCAAACATCCTGGGGAAGGGTAAGCTTTTAAAATCTTGCGACTTTTCTCGGTTCTTCTTTAATTTCTTTAGTTTGAGAACAAGGTTTGTCGTGACTTTTTCAAAATGCTCTAAAGCTGTTTTTTATTTACTTTTTACGAAACCCCTTTAAACAGAATTTATGGGACCGAATTATCCCAAAATATAGCCTGGCAAAACAAATGTTTAAAATGTGCTTTTTCACTGGAAAATGTTATCAGAATCATATCAAGCTGTACATCATATCAGAGAGAATAGCATGTAATGTCATGTTTCATGGCCAATTTCTATCAGATCTCTCAACCAGATGTTGTTACCATCTGTTTAAAAGATCTTTCCACACTTAACTTTTTCTGGTTTCTTCTATCTAATTCTCCTGTAGTATTTCATTCACCACATCGAATTTTCTTTGTTTTCTTTTTTTTYCCTATGTCCTAACTTTCTCCATTTGCTTGTCGTTTGTCTGCGTCTCACCCTAGGATCCTGCCTGGGCAGGCARTGGGGGATGTCTGCTCCTCAGCCACCTGCTCACCCCGAGCTGGAGAGCACAGAGCTGACGGTGCTCAGTTTGATCAGAGACCGGCGTGACAGCAGTGGCAGTGCCACCAGTTCAGCCTACCTGAGCAGCAGCCGGCGGTCTTCGGGCATCTCCCCCTGCTTCTCCAGCCGCCGATCTAGCCAGGCTTCCCAGAGCGAGGGCACGGCATTGGCCGCCAGCCACCGTCGCATTCATAACCTCAGCTCCACCGACTCGTACGACCCCATTTCCACCGATGCCTCCCGTCGGTCCAGTGAAGCGAGCCAGTATGGCGGTGGGGTAGCAGGAGGGGTTGCAGGGATGCTCTCAGGTGGGAGCTGTGGAGGCGTTGGAGTTGGCATTGGGGGAGGCAGTGGGTCACAAGGGATGCTCAATTTAACCCCAGCACAGCACTACCACCTCAAAGCTAAATATGCAGCAGCTACTGGTGGCCCGCCTCCCACACCTCTGCCTAACATGGAGCGCATGAGTTTGAAGATTCGAATGGCCATGATGGAAGAGGGTGGCAACAATCGCTCTCTGCCACCTTTAGTTAGGCCACCTCACTGTGATGAAAGCAATGGTGGGTATAACAATGGGGGTATGGGACATGCAGGTTACAGAAGAAGAGTCTTCTATCCTGGCGAGGGGCCAATGAGTGGGAATCGTCGAGCCAGCGACCCTGTGCGAACACAGGTTTATGAAAATTTCAGTTTGCCTCCAGTTCAACGCTTCAACAGCCTTAATAATCTCCACCCTCTCCCCCCTCTGACTCATCAGTTCACACCTGAATCTCGCAGTTTTAGCCTACAGAACTACACACGCGCTGAGAGCAACGTGCAGAATTCACCAAACACCTCTAGCATTGCAGAAAATGCAGCCTTAGAAGCTCTGGCCATGGAGAATGATGAGGCTAGCCTTCTGCTTGGGGATGAGGATATGTTGCCAGATGACTTAGTGCAGTATCTGCACTCCCAGGTTCAAATGAACACTGCTTATGTTCAGGCTGAGGACCATTTAGCTTCTAGTCAACGGGATACCACCCATTCAGGAGGCATGGAGGCAATCCAGACTTCAGGGTCAGATGGGACATTCCTTGGGTCCCAGAGTCTTCAGCAACAGCAGATATCAGAAAGGAACAGCCCTAGCAGGCTCCCCATCCAGTGGAATGAAGTAAGCTCTGGAAGTGCTGACAGGTCTCCCCAAAAAGAACAAAACCACCATTCACAGTATGGAAGGTGGCCTAATGTAGACCATGAACCCAATTCTGTATCATTTGGCAAGTTCCGTAATATGGTGGTTCACCATCAGGTGTCTGCCGATTTCCTGAACAGCTGCTTCCAGGCTAATCAGCCTTCAAGTGTTTACCCTGGGGTGAAACTAGAAACAACCCCTAACTCCTGCATGGAGATGAGAGGTACTGGTCACAACGCAACAAACACCTTTGGTAGRTCAAACGTAATGCATACAAACAATAGGCCTCACCCCCAAAATCTGAAACAGCACGCAGCCAGTGGAGCTTCAAAACAGAGCCACTTCCAGCAGAGCAACAACAGCAGCACCTCTTGGCAGGTTGGAAACAATCTAACTCTTGGCAGGGCTTTCATGGACAGTCTCCCCAGCCTCTCTCAGGAACCTCCTCCTTATCACGATCGGCTGGTACATATCCCTTACCCACCAAACAATGGTTCCAAGAACTTGGTCAAGACCCAACAACACTTAATTTCTGAGAGCTCCAGTGAAATCCACCCAAGCCCCAACCAACCCCAACAACTACAGAGGAATGGAGACCACTGTTCTCTTGCATATCAGGTATCAGGGCTGAAACTGGAAAACCCAGACCATGGATACGTCGAGCAGGCCTTCACGGACTGCCTCTCTTATGAACCAGCAGATTGCAAGGCCTCTTCATTTCCTGCTTTGGAGGACCAGAGTTTGCTGGACTCCTTGGCTGTCTCTGAGGAACCAGGTGGCGGCAAAGAGAACACAGCTTCCCTTCCCTCCCCAGGAGCAAACCTAGTGACCAGCACGGTAGATGGTCTTGTGACTGGTGTATTAAATGAAGGCGTAAATCTGGACTTTGGCACCATGCTGGAGGACGGTTATGATCAGGGTAGCTTGGTCTCAGGAGTTTTGAGTCCTTCCATCTTCCAGGGTCTTTCCAGGACTTCGTCACGCCTTACCACCCCTCGAACATCAGCTAACTTCCACAGTGTAGCCCCAGGCCTCAGCAACATGGCCATTGGAGACATGAGTTCACTCCTCACTGCCCTCGCTGAGGAAAGCAAGTTCCTGGCTATCTTGCAATAGCCACTCCTCCTCTCTGTTTTCTCCTCCCTTGAAAAAAAGAAAAACAGAAGAGTAAAAACATTGGTGTATGTGAAGATTTAAGACACTAAAAGTGGCAAATATGAGAACTTAAAAGTTGCCAAACAGTTTTATTGTAGGAAGATGTCATCCCACAAAGAACTGGGATGTGTCAAAGAATTTGTAAAAATAAAGATGTTATATTCCTTTTTCTGGAATGAAGGCTATTTTTGGAAGCCCTTCTGTTTGTACAATAATGTAATGGTGAGGAATAGCTCACCTCCTTAAAAATCAGTATTCTGTGTAATGTAACTGTTTTTTGCTGTACATCCTATTTGTAAAAATGCATGTACTCGAGTTGAACACTGTCTACATAAGTACATAGACTAGATTATGTGCCAATTATCAACTGGTGTAGTATTGCAGGTACACAACCGCTAAATCTCTTTTTGACRTTGTGCAGGTGAGACTTGGGGTCATTCCTTTAACAGGACCCCGGTGATGACTTTATACAGTATATTATAGGTTTTATTAGGTGGTATATTTACATTTGATGTCATTATGTTGGTATGTTACTTTGTGGAACTGTAAACRTTTCAGTGCTTCTACCAAGTGGTATTTTTGTCAAGATCCTGTCCAAAACAATGGATGACACATCCAAGTCTTCAGCCGCTATAGATTGTCATCTACTTGATATCTAAATGGCTTGATTTTGTTAGTCTGGTAAGGTACTCCCAAGTGTATGTAATAGTTTTTTTTTGTTCTGTTTTTTTTTTTTTTTTTTTTTTTTTTTTTTTTTTTTTTTTTTGTATTCTGTTTATGGACTGATTATTGATGTTGGATTGCCCAGAACTGAATGGACACCACGTCCTGAATTTGGTGCTTTATGTATTCTTACATGAATTGATATGAGTRCTTGTTTTGGTTTTAATGACCAATACACAATGAGGTCCACAGCATTTCAGTGCTGTAACATGATGTGTTTTATTTTATAGGAAACCTGACGTTTTGTTTTCTCCAACGCTCTTAAAATTCAGAATGTGTACTGCCATCAAGTATTGCAGTGACTTTGTCAGCAGTGTTAGTATTGCCTTGCAGTCATCTGTGACTGCACAAAGAATATTGAAGAGTTTACCTTTCATTCAGAGAAATTAGGTACAAACCTTTGTATTGTTCTTTGGTACTTTTGTTACTTCGTAGCTGTGCATTGATGGAGTTTTGTTATTTCAAAAAAGTAAAGATTGTTTCCTTTGAAAGAAGGAAACTCTTGAGATATGTGCCTTAAACGTACAGTATCTGCCTGTTGGTAAAGAGAAAGATCACTGCCAATCTTCCATTGTGAATAATGAACAAAAGAAGTAATAGGAACTTAAACATGTAAAAGTGTCTTGTGAGGCGTGGAAAAAGAAATAGAACATTTATATGAGAAAAGTCTGAATATTTGAGAAGTAAAGATTTGCGACATGCATTCTACTTTTTTTTTCTGTTCAAAGTTTTCACATTTATTGTGCTTTTATATATATTATGTAAATAAACAACTCCTTCTGTAGGCTTAGCAAAGGGAACGTGGAGTATCCTGAGACCAATAAAGAACTGACTTCAAAGATTCCCAGGCCCTGGGCAGAGGAACGGCAGATCTGGCTCAGAGCGGAGCTTCAAGTGCCCAGCACTGCACCACTGCTTCACTCTTTTATAACTGACAACAAATGTTTGTATGGTTTTAATAAAAATGGAAATTATAATGGTCTCCTTTCTTTTGTGAATGACAGGTTTTGATAATACAGCCAGTGCGTACTGAGTAATCGAGTCAGTTCTGCAATTTACATGTCAAAACACATACTGAACCACTTTAAAATAAAGTTAAAGTGTAGAATCTGTAAGTGAAGAAAACTCAAACGTTACTGCCTACATAGAAGCATAAGGGTTAGTTGTAACCAGATTCTGTTAACTGAATGCATTAAATTAAAACATCAGCTCCATAAAACAAGTTTTGGTGGTTGATGCTCTGATACAATAGACTTGTGCTAACACAACGCCATGAAGAGAAAAACCTCAATCATATATGACATTCTTCATTACAAAGCAATTTTCACGTGTATAATATTTAGGAGAGTTGTCAGTCTAAACAATAACGCACAGCCCAGCTATTTTTAGAGTTGTCATGAAGAGCAGAGCACAGAGAAATTACAAATAACCCAAGAGCTACGTCTGACTGCACAGGCCTCAGTCAGCATCTTAAATGTTAAAGTTCATTATAGATTTGACCAAGTGTGGCTTGTTTGTAAATTTGCCAGAAGAAAGTCTCACGTCACAGCTTTGGATTGCAAACCTGCATTTAAACTAAAACCTCTGAAAAAAATTGCTTTGATCGAGACCGAGGTAGAGATGTTTGACCGTAAGTGACGTCTAAAAAAAAAAAAAACTAAAACTAAACTCAAAGTCCTCATAACAACTGTAAAGCATGGTGGTGGAAGAGTGATCATTAAGGCTGATTTGCAGCCACAGGACTGGGGTGCATTCTAGTAAACTCAGAAAATTATGGGCTTAATTGTGTAGTTTCAATCACATAACAAAAAGCAAAGCAATTATAATTAAATGGTTTAAGACAAAAAAAAAACAAAAAAAATGTTTGAATGTGTTGGAATGACTGTGTGCTGCAAACCTTAAGTCCAACAAAACTCAATTCTGAAGATGCATAAGAACATTGCTTTAGGTGACCTCCAATTAATTTAGCATTTGTTTAATAAATAAATTAGTGTGGTGTAGATATTCTGAGGTTGTATTTTAATTTTAAGACTGAAACATTTGCTTCTTGACTCATTCATTCATTATCTTTACCGGTACATTTTTGTGACACACTTTCATTTGGGATTTTTTTAAAATAAAAAAAAAACAGCTATTGAAAGAACATTTTTCAAGGCTGGATGTTATATATATACAGTGGTGTGAAAAAGTGTTTGCCCCCTTCCTCATTTGCTGTTTTTTTGCATGTTTGTCACACTTAAGTGTTTCGGAACATCAAACCAATTTAAACAATATTCAAGGACAACACAAGTAAACACAAAATGCAATTTGTAAATGAAGGTGTTTATTATTAAAGGAGAAAAAAATCCAAACCATCATGGCCCTGTGTGAAAAAG